ATGCATTCAGTGGGTTAGGGTTCAGAATAGATCTGTCATTAAATTAAAATAATAACAGTTAATATAAATAACATTTTAATGCAATAATTTAAAAGAGAACTAAATACTTATTTATGGCAGTTGGTATGGAAGACAGATTTAGGCATCCATACTTGTCTCACTCAAATTAAAGAGAGAGAGAGATTCTGTATTTTTCCAAATGCATTAAAACTTTTCATTGGAAATGTACACACTATTTATATTAAATATAACTAGGGGTTGGAGAAAAAAAAATTGATTCTCTGATGTATTGTTATTGTCTCTTAAGTGATTGAATCCATTCTGACAATTGCAATGGTAAGGTCTATGTGGGAGCAATTTTAATGATGGACCTGTGTAGACTAGTCAGAGTGCCTATGATGAACCCTGTCCACAGCCAAAAGCCCGTAGAATGGGCATGCAAGCAACAGAACTGGACCTTGTCTGTAAAGATGTAAACGAAATCAAAGGAATCATTTTTGAATCTGATTGCGATTCCGAGAATCTGAGTTAGATCAGTTAAGATTGTGAGGTGCATAAAGATTCCCACCCATAAATATAACATTGTAATAAAACAACTTTCCTTACACATGGTCTTAATCATATGTATAAAGATGCTTCTCATTTCTTTAAATGCAAAGCATGTAAATAACTAGTTAACATACTGTCTGGGTTTGATTTTTATAAATGATGTTAAGACATCTTTCTCCATTGATGAGCTGTATCGACTGTTGTATATGTGTCTAGTGGTGGGCAATATGAACAAAAAGCATAGAACACCACGCTCGTCAAAATAAAGTACTATTACTAACAATGTCTGTGTATATATAACATACAGAAGTAAATAGTTAGTAATAAAATAACGAAACGCATTACAATCAATAGTGCAAATAACAGTATAAAAAAACCTACAAAAGTTATTCAGCATACGAGTACCAAACTGAGTTCTCTTTTGCATTGCCTTTTTTTTTTAATTGTAGAAAGAAAAGATCTTACTCATTCTCTCACAAAACTGTTGTTTTGAATCAGGGCAGTGTGGCCTGAAGGAGACACATTTGGATCTGTTGAGGTGGAACCTGAGGAGGAACTAGAACTTCTGAAGCAGATACTTTTCACTAAACTCCCTAGTAAGCTCACACTACATATATTACTGTACCTGATACTGTCACATATTATACTTCTTTACCCAATTCCGTTACAGAGAAGACGTACTAATACTGTAGTATACTGCTATTCCTGGCAACATCATCAACAATACCCAGTGCTGTACTTTTCTAGCATTGTTCAACAACAATACTATCAGGTTTGGTAGAATAGTTTATATTATCAAACCTTATATTATTGTTATAGTTTGAAAAGTAGAGCATGGCCCTAGCAGTGGCAAGGTCAATGGTCTGACTCCCGGGAGACTCCTTTAGGGGATATGTAAATGGTTAAATATATACCCTCGATGCAGTGTGTCATTCCTTTTGGATAAATGCACCTACCAACATTTCTGTTATTATTGCCAGTATTGCTACTTGCTGAGAGCTGCAATTCAGAGTCCTAAATGCATCTTAACCGACAAATGGACCGCTTATAGGCACAAGCGTACTGTGGGTCAAATAGCCAAAGGTATTTTTACAACCCCAGTTCTAGAAAAGCTGGGACATTTTGTAAAATCAAGAAACTGATTTGTTAATTGTTTTTAACCTTTATTTAATTGAACCTTCGCAAAGAACTAGACAGATGATCTGGTCGATAATAATCTGCCATTTTGTCAGACAAACAAATCAGACAGGAGAGTAGATTAACTTCGGTGGACTTGACCTTGAAAAATAGTGTATATCGTTGTCTTTCCACAGTTTAAATAAAATACCTTCTGATGTTCATTCATGTTTATTTCGTGCTTTAAGTAAATATGAAAAGATGATTGGTTCACGTGCCGCTTGAACCGAGGCGCTACAGTGATCTGTCACAACACATTAAAGAGCCACAAAACAGTATGTATTGTTTGAATTTCTTAAAAAAAATAATTAACAAAAAATTTGAAAGCTGAGACTTTGATTCATACCAGAAGTAACCTGCTCTGTCTTGTCTGTCGGCACGTTGTCAGTGTTCTCTTTGCTACATGATGTATTTCAAAGTAGATGTGACTGACTGGCCAGCAGATCTGTTTCCTATTGAAAATGTATGGAAATGTATTTGTGCATAGATTTGATTCTAGTTTACTGTATTGTTACTTTTCCTATTCGTTTAATAGGTCTTGAAGAAAAAATCTCTCTGAATTAAATGTAAACCTTGAAATCTACTGTATCTTCCCATTTTAGTCAACCCAATATTATAAAACAAATGACATTTAAGGCTTGCACCCTCAACTGAGCAAGGAAAAAATAGTATACCCGGCCCTTAAGAATGAGATGAAGAAATCTCTCTCTCTCTCTGTTCTCTGAATATTTTTTGGTAATTTGCTCAGTGCCCATTTTCCTGTTAATATCTGAACTTTGCAGATTCTAACAAATTTCCAAAAATCTGCTATCACAATTAGCACTGATTTTTAAGCTTAGGTCTCTCTGATAGTGCTGCATCTTTTCTTAAACAGTTAGATGTGTGTCTGTAGGAATACTTAGGCCCCCTTCCTGTTCCACACTTTATACATTCTGTACATCTTTAACAGAGTTAAGTTTGGAGTTTTTCAGTTTTTCTTTTTTCACTTGGTTCCAAGAGACCACCTTTTTGCACTGTGATTTTATGTCATCAAGTGTTTATTTTTTGAGAAAAGAATTGCTTAAATTGACTGGAGAGTTGTTGTTTTAAGATTAGATGTATGTAGTGTTCTAAATGTTTCTCTTTTGCAGCATCTTTTTTTTTCCTTTTCACCATAGTGGCTGACCTTTATTGTTATTAATTGATTGGACTTTGTGATCTGTCTGCTCCCCAAACTGCTGCCTGAAATGTTAAAACATGCATCAAATTAAAATAGTACTGCCAGTCTGTTTTCTTTCATGTGGTGGTTTGCGCTGTTTGCTAATCCTAAATCTACGAGCAATCTCTTTATTTGTGCTTATGTGAAAGTGCAATAATTCTGATGAAATGGGGAAAAAAAGACAATTGTGATTAATAATCATGGTTTTTTATTGTGCAGCCCTGTTTTTCAGTATCAATAGTTTTATAGTGTCAATAGTGTCATTATTGATAATCCTGGTTACTGGTTTATTACTGGTATTAGTGCCAACTCCTGAAATGTTGGTATTCTAACAATACTATTTGATATCATTATAAACAATACTAGACTTTACTGTTAAACCCAATATTGGAGTGGTATGGTGATGTATTGACTTTGTCTTTTTGATTGTAGAGTCGGTTCCTTTAGATTCTGCTCTTGAGGAAGAGGATGGAGTTGAGTTGGAGGAAGAGGAAGAGCTGGAGTCTGTTGCTGTGTCTGAGACAGAGTTCAATTTCTTAGATTTCATCAAGAGGTGCGTGGAGAATTATTTCTACTTAAAGTAGATGTAAATTGAGTACATTTTTCCAGCTAAAAACTAAACTTCCAGTCTTGTATTTTCTGTCTTGATAATTAATACCAGTATGCCAATAAAATGGATAGTTTTAGCCCTCTGGGGTCTGAGGGGGGTTTTGGGCCCTGCTCTGGCATTTGTGCTTTTTCAGTTTCTTGTAAAACTGAAACGGGGCAATACTATCTAGAACGGTGATCCTCAAATCTGGCTCGCGAGATCCACTTTCCTGCAGAGTTTATCTCTAACCCTAATCAAACACACCTGAGTTTGCTAATCAATGTCTTCAGTATCATTAGAAAATCACAGGTAGGTTTGTTTGATTATAGGGTTGGAGCTAAACTTTTTCCAGATTTGAGGATCACTGGTCTAGAATGAAATGCGGTATGGAAATATATCTGCGTAACACAGTACTGCTTAATGTTATACACCTTTTGAGTGATAAGGAAACATGCATGAATGAGAAAATAAAGAGTGAGACGCACTTGATAGAGTTAAGTGCAATAAGCAGTGAAAAAGAACTCAATGCGGTGCTTACGCTGACTGACAAACAGCGTGCACTGAAAGCCCCTCTCTCGACAGCATGCAATCGCGAAAACAGATCTCTTTCGTGTTTTATTGTGCTTAAATGGTAAAATACACACACAGTAATGTCATAATGCCCGTCGTGTGGAGTATTCAAGGTTATATGTTGAATAAATGTAAAAGAGATGGGTAAAAACAGGATGTGTTTCAGTATATTGGATCCGTGACCTTAAAAGGACAGCAGCTTTATTTACCTGCTGCTGTCTGTCATTATTAATGTTAATCATGTTTGATTGATACAGTGAATACTATGCAGTTTTATTTATACACTTTGTTTAATTTCTGTAATATTTCTTACTACGTTAAATAAACCTAGCCTACTGTAGCTGAATAAATTAAAAGTTTATTTCATATTTATTTGTTCTGTTGTGCTTGTAATTAGCTTTTTTTTCTTATTTTAATAACAAAATAAAAATAGCTATATCGAGGTACATAGTTATCATGAAATAAAATTTCTCATTCTGTGAAATAAGATTTTGGTCATATCACCCACCCCGAAGCAGAAACAATTATTAAATTTTTTACATTTACATATAATTACATTTTATATTGATTTGAACAGATCTCTTTCGTGTTTTATTGTGCTTAAATGGTAAAATACACACACAGTAATGTCATAATGCCCGTCGTGTGGAGTATTCAAGGTTATATGTTGAATAAATGTAAAAGAGATGGGTAAAAACAGGATGTGTTTCAGTATATTGGATCCGTGACCTTAAAAGGACAGCAGCTTTATTTACCTGCTGCTGTCTGTCATTATTAATGTTAATCATGTTTGATTGATACAGTGAATACTATGCAGTGTTTTATTTATACACTTTGTTTAATTTCTGTAATATTTCTTACTACGTTAAATAAACCTAGCCTACTGTAGCTGAATAAATTAAAAGTTTATTTCATATTTATTTGTTCTGTTGTGCTTGTAATTAGCTTTTTTTCCTTATTTTAATAACAAAATAAAAATAGCTATATCGAGGTACATAGTTATCATGAAATAAAATTTCTCATTCTGTGAAATAAGATTTTGGTCATATCACCCACCCCGAAGCAGAAACAATTATAAAAAAATTTACATTTACATATAATTACATTTTATATTGATTTGAAGTAAGGCTGAATAAATTTTTCTCATGTTTTATGTTCTAATATGTTCAGTAATACTCTATAATTAAAATGTTTGATTGACAGGTTTGCCAGTCCAAATGTTGCGCGTCCATACATTATCCTGCTGCGCTCGTACTCCCAGAACTCTGTTCACACCAACCACTGCATCACACGCATGCTGCACAGACTGGCTGTAGATCTAAAGATGGAGGCATTACTGTATCAGTTGTCCATCTTTTCCTTGTTTAATAACATCTTGGGAGACCCAGTGGCGGTTGCCTATCAGGTAACTTCCCATTAATATTCTCCATTATTACAGTGTAGTTCTTTCTGCATCTTTTCTAACCATGTTGTGTCTGTAGTTTGACTGATGGAGCATAGCACTAATGATGCCAAGGTCATTGGTTTTGATGTTTGAAAGAAAGTCTTTGCCGTTCTTAATCTTACACCTCTGCATATCTACATTCTAAAATAAAAAATAATAATCAGTTGTTATTTAATTAGTACACCGTTTTTTTTGTTTTTTGTCCTTACAGGAGCTTGTTACATTTGCAAAATATGTTCTGAACCGGTTCTTTGTGTTTGCTACTAAAAACAACAAAGCATTTGTGGAGCTGCTGTTCTGGAAGAATGTAGGTGCTGTAAGAGAAATGACAGAGGGATATAATAAAGACGGGTAATTGCACGTTTTTTGACCTTGTTGATATTGAAGTTGATGAGTGCTCATATCTTTGAACTTTATAACAGTGCTCAAAAGTTAGTGATATGTTTTATTCACATTTGTATATATATTAGGGAAGACAAGAAAAAAAGCAAGTGGACTCCTGAGGAAGAAGAACAGCTTCAGCGATTGTATGAAGAGTACAAGGACTCTGGAGGTGGAGTTCCAGTAATTCACACTGTCTGTTGTTTGTTTTTTTGAGTGTTGACCAGTCTTCTAAATGATCTTTGTTGTTGTTGTTGTTGTTTTTGTTCTTTAGTGCCAGTTATTGTTGAGACGATATTACCGTTGCTGAGCAGCAGCCACACTAGACGTGAGGTGGTGTCTCACATGGTGTCCATGGGTTTAGTGGACAGTATGAAGGATTTAAAGAAAGAGAGGTATGATTCTTTTGTAAAACCTGTAGTTGGAAAGTAAAGGCTGGTAGCAAAGTAAAGACATTTTGCTCTGTTTAAAATCCTAGTGAGCTGCTTGATGACTTGATGACTTTTCCTCAGTAGAGGAAAGAAAGTTAAAGATGGTTTTTAGCTGAATACATGGTCCTCTGGGATTCATAAAATACAATCACTGGGTTCTGTCACTTTGAGAGTCGAAAAAAAGCAGGTACAGAAAATACAAAGTTAATCCCTGAGGCTCCAAGGTCTTATAAAGCGAAATGATCAGTCTCTGCCAGAAAGTTTATGTAGGGCATTTTTATCTTACCTCAGAAGACAGAACTCATTGACTTGCATTTTATGAATCACCAAGGACCATGGATTCATCTAAAATCATCTTAAATGCTCTACTGAAGAAAGAAAGTCACCTACATCTTGGATGACCTGAAGGCGAGTAAATTAACAGCAAATTTTCATTTTTGGGTGAACTATTACTTCAATCAAGATTGACAGAATGGGTACTTAAAAAGGGGTGAAATTAAAGTTTTTCATTTGTTTTCTTTGGTGAAAACTAGGGCTGCCCTTGTCTAAAGATTTTTCTGGTCAACTAGTATTCGTTCATTTTATGTATTAGTCGACTAATCGCACGTTTATTAATAAACAATTTAAATCATGCTAATGAGCCTTTAATTGCCTACATAAGGCATAAAGATGGCCACAGCACACCGGCAGAAGTAATGATGATGAATGTGTCAGAGACACAGTAAGATTAAACTGCATTAACATTTTAATAATCTATTCATAAACTAGTGTTTTCGGCTGATGAATTGGGCGACACCGACTCGTCATCTCCACAGTAGTGGATGCGCCTGCTTGCAAATTTCATACGGATTACATAATCTGAGAATATCTGTTTTTTCAGATTTGAATTGTTTAATTTGAAAGTACATTTCACTCTCATAGATATATTTTTCATGTCTGTAAGGCAAGTATACACTGAGTTTCGCGCTCAAGTTCACAGCAGTGTTAATTCTGACAGCAAATTTTGATTGTTTTAGTCATAGTCTTTTGACTAAAATGCCATTTAGTTTTAGTCATATTTTAGTCACCTGAATTGTTTTTAGTTTTAGTCTAGTTTTAGTCGACTAAATATCATAAGATTTTAGTTGACTAACTCTACAGTAAATTTAGTCAGCTAAAATATAATGGGTTTAGTTACAGTGTAATGCATTTATTAAGCATTTCTCCAAAATTTCCAAACTCATTATATAGGTTTGATATTAAGGTTTTATCATGATAGACACCGATTTAACTGCAGTGACACACAACATGCCTTTGTTAAAATTAAATAAAACCACTTCTCATAAAGAACAAGAACATGGTCTTCTTTTTAATAAAATACCAATTGTTATATAGGCTAATTATGCATTCTTTATAGCAACTTGTTTACCATATTCTTAATTCTTTCAAGCAGACATATTTATTTCTATAAATACATTGAGATTCATCTTTAGGGCTACTAAAGTTTTTCAGTCAAGAGCAGTGAGTGATTTTCTGTCTTTCTTTTGTTGCTTGATTAACATCAATGACTCGGACAATAGCAACTAAATTAGGCTGCTATTCCTTTAAAACCGAATGCACCGCTGCAATGGATGCAATGTACTGATACACGTTCTCCCTACTGTTTATGTTCATTTAAGATGTAATCAACTGCGTTTACATGAATACTCGTCAAAATGGACAAGTCAACATAATTTTGTGTGTAATTCTCCATTCATGCGATGTGAAAGAATACCAGTGTTGCCAACTGCTTTTAAATTTTTTTTTAAAAATGTCTCAAAACGGGTGAGGACGTCGCTAAATCTAGCTACAAAATAGCTAGATTGGCAACACTGAAGAGTATTTGCTCGCTGTGAGACGCGCTTTGTGTGTTTATGCTTCGGTGTCTGCGCTCAGAAAACCGGACCAAATTGAGCTCTCTTGCGTCGTCAGATTTATCCATTTGTCTGCTGTTCTTACTCAGAAATATTGACATTTTTGAACGTTTTATGCGACGTGCAGCAAGTGTATGTTATCTTATGTCCCGCCGGTTCATATGTACGCATCTAACCTCCGAACCATGCAGCAGATTCGTTTTGTAGTTAAATGAATCTCTTCCCAAATCATCCCTCCCTAACATTTTTGTCGTTGATGAAAATGTCAATAAATTTACATCATAGTTTTTGTCATTCAAAACTCTGACAAAGTTTTAGTTCGTTATAGTCTCGTTGTCGTCAGTGAAAAAAATGCAAATTATTCGTCAATTAAATTAACACTGGTTCACAGAGGCCGAGACAGCAGAAAGCATATTCTGTTTGCTTTCATTATTTTACAAAAGTGTAATGTTTTGTTGTTATAGTGAGTGCACACAAATAAACGTAGAGGCTTTACAGAATCGAAAGATGTATTTACTCTTATCTGTATGACCAAAATTAGTATTTTAAGAGCAAGTGACTGCACCGGCGCCTCCATCTGTCATCCTGTAAACTTTTAAATGGCAATTCAGATTTGTATTTAATTAGTCTTTGCTTTATGTGATTGGCTTTACTTTATATGAGTCATTACTTGCTCATTGTTTAAACACTTGCTGGTCTTTTTTTTACCCCCTCATTTGATCAGAAAAGGTACTCGTATCGTGCTCTGGACTGAAGAACAGGAACAAGAACTCCAGGTGCTCTTTGAGGAGTTTAGAGAGACTGATGGTTAGTGTGAATTAAATATTTTAATTATATGAAATTATAATTATTTCATAATCAAGTAAAAATTCTATGATAATTTTGTGTTGTTGATTTCATTGCTCTTACTGTAATAGATAATAAGATAAAAATAAATGAATGTGAGGAGTCTCTTTAATGGGTTAAAAAAACTCTAAAATTTGAATGTCTAATAAATCTTTCACAAATGAACTCACTAAATCATTCAGTTGTTCCTGAATTAACATTTGATTATTATTACCGAAACATCTGAAGTTATCACTGTTTTCAGTGATGTCCATTTTGAAATGAAGCATGTTTTGAACATTTGAGGTTCATGAAAACTTAAGAAAAATTAAATTCATGAAATCAGTGTAATTGCTCGCTGGCTTTGAAACTGTCTTTTCAACATAAGTGCAAATAATAAAAAGAAGAAATAAAACTAAAATAATCATCACATCTACCTAACTCAGTCTCTTGACTTCAAGGCAAAGTCCTTTATTTATTGTTTTCTCTGTTATTTTAATAGATGTGCTTGGAAATATTCTAAAGCGGATCACAGCCAAGCGTTCAAGGGCTCGAATAGTCGACAAGATCCTCAGCATGGGTCTAGTGTCCGATCGCAGAGATCTTTACAAGAAGAGAAATCGCAGTGCTCCTGGGAGGAGTACTGGAATGGTGCGTCCATCAACAAATAAGTTCTATGGTGCAATATAAAAAAAACTTTGATAGGACGGTCACATTTCATCCTAAAATTAAAAGACAAGTTTTTTCATGACTGGCATATTTTAACCTTCTACACCTCATTGCTGTAATGCAAAATGGATGCATTGTTATACAGTATGTACAATGGTAATAATTACATTTATGCTGAACTAAAACAAAAATGCCTGAAACCAGGGTTGAAAATTAACACCCACCAAGAGCCACATTTTTTAATTTTTTGCCTGTGAATTTTACAATTTCACAAGGTGGTCATTTAGATCATAGATACATGGAAGTGGTCTTTTTTGATTTGATGCAGTGTCCTAAAAGAGCCCTTACCAGTGGTTGGAGGCCCTAGCCATATCTTAGCAATAAAATGTCTATACCAGTCTTTACCAGAATGTGATGGAGACATTTTTACAGCAATTTACTGAGGCCCCATGTAAAGACCCCAAGGCCCCCTCAAGGACTGTGTCTACTGAAAGGCCATTCAAAACCATTTTTAAACTTGCATTTACCTTTGCCATCATCAAAGTAAAATGATTAAGGTGTATGTAATTCAGAATACTTTAATAACTCCCAACCAGTCGACATTTACAGTAGCTGCTGTTCTGTCGGCAGATATACATTTATATTTGTGTGTGTGTTTATACATGTCAGACAGAGGAAGAGTTCTTTGATCTGACTGAAGAGCCACAGGAGAAGGAACTGGACATAGAGGAAGAAGAAGAGGATCAGTCTGATCAAGATGAAGATGAACAAGGCTATGAAGAGCTTGTTGACAACTCAGCCAAAGAAGGACAAAAGAGCATGAGTAGAGACAATTCTTTGAAGAAAATTTATAGTCTGAGAAACATGGTCCAGACTTTACAGCAACAAGGTAAGTACCATCAGGCATAATTTTGAGATTCTTTCTAAGTGAAGGCTGAGAGCATTCCTAATATTTTGTGTTAACAGGTCTGTCAGGGCCTGTCCTGTGGCTACAGAATTCCCTTAACAGAACTGCTGATGACCGCGAGGAGGATGGTGAGTACATAAAACGTTAGTGATTAAAGCCTCTCTGTTACTTCTGCTTGCAATTAGAGTGAAAGTATTCACAGATCTCCACAAATATATCTGTGGTTTGAGAGTGTACAGTAGGAGATTACTCAACATGCGTCCCTCAAAGCATTTATTATGGTCTGCATGAGCAAAAACATGCGTATGAATAGTGAGGTGTCCATTTTCAGAAGTATTTATGGTAATTTTCTGAATCACTAGAGTTAGAGTGAAAAAGAAGCCTTTTTTATTTTTAGTATTTCAGTATGTTCTTTGAGGTTCTCCTTATGTAAGAAAAAATATTTTTTAATAATTGTTTGTGACGGAGGGTTTATTAACTCAAGCACTCTTTTTTGCATGTAAGAAAGTGTTTTGAAAACATAAATATAAATAAAAAGCCCTCTTTTACAGACAGCATTATGAAATTATTTACTGTGATATTACTGCTGTCAGATTTAATACAGTTGGCACTGCGTCATCTTTCAACCAGGGTGTCCGCGGGTCCTTAATGTCTTAAATAACTTTTTCCTAATATAAGGCCTTAAAAAGTCTTAAAATGTCTTAAATTCGGATTCGATGGGTCTTAATTATTTTTGGTCTCATTACCGCTAAAATATCTTCAGTCTGACGGACCTAATGACTTTACAATCATTGGACAGACCGACCCGCGGTAAGTTACTGCGTCATCAGAGAGAATTGCAGTAAGTTAGCAGAATACAG